GTTGTAATATTGCACATAAACTTAGAAATATTAATCAATCTATAAGTCAATTGACAAAAGGTAATTGAACAAATTCTTTTTGAAGACTTCTAGTGAACTTGCATCTATAATATCGGGTGGAAGTTTTTGCCATAACCGTATTGCTGATATTACAAAAGAATGTTCTAGGTAAGCTGTTGTGAATTTATGTATTAAGAAATTTACATTATTATTTTTAATTGCAATTCTTTCTGAACGCCTGGAATCGTCATCGATGAACATTTCTCTTAAATAGATAGGCTTACTAATGGTTAATAATTTAAAGAAGTAGGTTGCCAAGAAGTACAATCTTCTAGATTTGACTGACAACCAGCATAATTGTTGTCTGTAAGGCGTAATATGTTCAACTCGTTTTAAATTGTAGATAAATCTAATGGCACTATTTAAGGCACGTTGTAATTTTAAATCATTCTCAACATTTGAATCAATAAGAACAACAGAACAATAATCGATTAATGGTAAAACAGTAGCCATAACTAGTAATTTCCTTATTTCCTCAGTAAATATGTTTTTCCGAATTTTCAAACAATATAGAGCAGAATTTATCTTTTTAACAATATAAGAGATATGATTTTTCCAAGAGAGATCATTATTTATATATAATCCTAGGCATTTAATTGAATTCACATAAGGTAGTTCAATATTATCAATAACAATAGGTGGAAGAGTAGACCAGTTTAATTGCTTTAATTTACCATTTGTACATTGAAAGCTTTAAAAATTAAATAAAAAAATTGAATTTAGAAAAATTTTATTTCAAATTATAATTTATTTTCTAGTTTTGATTACGACAGGACCGATTTTACATTTTATACTGTAATTATTCCTGTTTTCTTTTTTCCGTGTACCAATCGAAGACTATCTATTCTTTAATCAAAGGACAATAATTATCGATCGAAGATGTTAGCTTTTCAAGCCAAGATGGCGAGATTCAAGACAAAAAATTCTTGAACTGTGATAATCGGTTGTTTTCAAAATAAGTTTTCAAGTTCCGGATTAATTCTCTTGAATCAATATAGTTTTTTTAACGTGTGAAAATTTTTTTTCTGAAGAAGAATCTCTTAAACAAACTGTAGCAATTATATCCAATTAACTTTCCTCATTTGAATATTTTAAATTGTCTTAAATCAATCAGTTGTAATAATTTACTTGATTTGATTTAATAAAATTGTTATACTTATATAGGACACAAATATAAAAAATTGATGTGGAATTTATTTTTAGCGCAGCACGATCGCATACGATCATAACCAATCTTAACTCTCGCCCTCTTTTCTCTTCTAACCGTACCTTTTCTGTATGCCTTGAAGCCTTCCCTCTTATTTTGGCGAATAAACGCCTTGAAAAAGCGAGACAGAGAAAACAAGAATGAAAGATAAAGAATAAAAGATACTGAGAAGACAGAGAGGACAAGGTAAGGAAATATAACGGTATTTTTGTGTTAATGCTCAAGAGAAATTTATTTATAAATAAAATTTTCTTTTTTTAATTAAAATTTTTTTGAAATTTATTTACTTATTTTTATCAATTAAATTAAGAATATGAAGTAGTAATTTTTGTTATTATTTGCAAATAATATATTTTTAAAATTTCGTATATTAAGATAATTAAAAGTTGAAATAAGGCGATTATCTGTGGTTTACATTTTTTTCAAAAATATTGATTCATATCATTGAAACAAATAATTTTTGGAATTGATTTTAACAAACTGAGGTATTAAATAAATATACATATACATATATTGGTATGCAAAATGCATCAACTAAAATGTCACGGTCAGACTCTCAGCCAAATACCAATTAAATGTCAATACCTTTGAGAATTAGCTTAATCTGTAAATTATTATATTTTTTTACCGTTAAAAATTATTTCAAAAATGATTTAATTGATAAAAGTTTATAAAGTTTGTAGAACAAAAAAAAATTGTTATCAAAGGTTTAAAAAGAGAAAATTTCTATTAGTACATATTAGTAAATTTTATAATTACAGTTTTTAATCAATAAAAAAACTAATAAGATTATAATTGTCGCTAAAATCGATATAGCAATCAATATCCTGATAGACATTTTGATTTTAACAAATTACACGTACGTTGTTCATAAATAAATTTGCATATGTCACGTAAAACGATAGCACACGAACTTAAGCTAATTTTTATCACACCCAAGACACAATAGTCTTTTATCTTAAAAGTTATTGAACAATAGGGTAAAATCCGACAAAGAAAATCGAATCAAGATAAGAATATTGTGCAGGTGTACATTGCATAAAGTGTAACAAAAAAATAATAATAATAACAATTAACTAAATTAGTGAAGAAAAAAAAACAGAATGTAAATGTTATTTTTTTAAGATTGTAGAAAGTTTAGAAAAAAAAACCCCGGTATATTTATAATTCCAATCTTATTTCCTGTTACTCTATTCGTAAATTCGTGACCTATTTAATAAGTTGATCAAATAAAACCGACCTACGATTATTCGACAATAAGACTCTCTAAATTTTAGGCGAAAAAATAAATTAAAATTTATTTTAAATTTTCTTTTATTTTATTTATTTTTAGTCAATTGAAATTATGTTCTTTCATAGTAAATTGAAGTAATTTTTTCAAGTGAGGAACACTCAATTTTTTGGCAAATCATCGAAAAATAAATTCTTTTAAATATTTTTATAATATTTTTATGAAATAATCAAAAGTTAATATTTCAATTCGTTTTAAAGCTTTGAATGTTAAAAAAATGAAGTTTATAGCGATTTTAGTATTTTTATATACTTTATCCAAAAAATTAATTTGGAAAAAAAATTTTGTGTCAACTTCTTAAATTTTTACGTTCTTCATTTTTTAAAAAATTATTTGATTTTTGATCTCAAAAAAAAATAATTACTAGAATAATGAATGATGACCACACTGTTAAAAAAATTAACAAAAAGATTTTTAACTAAGTAAAATTTACTTGAACCGAAAACAATTTTCTGATTCAAGAATTTTTCTCTTGAATCAGTTTATTTTTTTTCTCAATATTATGTTGTGCATAACTTATATTTTTAGGAAGAAGATTACTTGCAAATAAAGGCTAAAAAAAAAATATTTTTCAGAATAAATTCTCATTTTCCCAAAAAGAAAAAGTCCGGTTTTATTTAATCGTTATAAAGAAGAAAAATTTATAAGAAATTTTACGTGCAGTTTTCAATAAGTTGAATAGATTTTTTTCTATTTAAAAATTTTTATTTACAATTTAATTACTCAATGTATAGTTGATTACAATCAGTGGTTTATTTAAAATAAGACTAAGCAAAAAAAAAAAAAATCCGTAAATGGCGGGCTCACACATATTAACGGTATTCAATTTATTTAGACATTTAAGCTTGTTGATGATGATGATGATGATGATGATGATAGTATGAGAGAGTTGAGACAAACACAAGACTAGACCGCGACCTTCATAAAAAGCCGCGATCCAAAGATTGTCCAGACTTCAAAGAAGATACCAGCCAGCGAGTGACTCGTTTACTCGTTAGTAAGAACTGGTCAGGGATCCAAATAAAAAATGCATTCCAAGCTTTTATTATATTCTCAACTATAAATAGCTTATATTATCTTTACAATTAATTACTTATTTAACACTGCAAATTAATTTATCCAAAAAATAATAGTTAAATTTTTTTTAATTAATTAATATTAATCTGACGATAAAATCAAAAAGATAAGAAACAATAAGAGAAGATAACAATTATAATGGAGACAAAATTGATGAGACAAAAATCGGTATGACTAATATACCCCACTACATACTTTATAATATATATATATAAATAAAAGGATAGAGCGAGTTATGGTCTGTGGAGATGTGTCGTCATACATACAATACATACATTTATATGTATATATATCTCTTCGGAAAGTTCTCTCACGTGGTTAATATATGTATCTACATATATTACCATGGTCTCTTGAGCGCACCTTCGCTTATTGGCTTCTTGGCCCTCTTCGGACACGGTTGTTACGTTCAGTGGTTTGTGGGTGCTCGGTGCAACAGCTCGATTTTAATAATTTTTTCATTAAAATTACGAAAATTTTATTTTAAACACCTGTTTGTAAGTGTACTTTGTGTAAACGCTTGAAAATTTTCATTACAATTTTTAGTTTTTTGGTAACATACAATAAATTTTTTTTTGATAAAAATTTACTTTTAAAAATTATTAATGACACTGAAGTTAGCAGACGCCTAAAAATTTTTGATTTTTTTTATTAATTAAATTACAACTAAAAAGATATTTTTAAAAAATTGCACTTATAGCTTTTAAAGTTTTTTACATGTGAAATTTTTTTTAAATTTTTTAATTGAAATTTTTTCAATAAAAAATTTCTAAAAATTTTGAAATGTTGGCTAACTTAATTTTCATAATTATTAAGCCAATTTATTAATGTTTGAAAAAAAAAATTTATATTTTGGATAATTTTTCATTATCTTTTAAATGAAGTAAATTTGATTTTATCATTTTCATTTTTATATGTAGTCGTAATATAAATTTTATTTTCGGAATTTTTAATGAGTATTTTTATATCTTTACTTTGGATTCTTATATTGTACCAAGCAAATGCGTGATACGAATTTTATAGCCTTCTTGTTGCTAAGAAGAAGAAAAAGGAAATAACTTAAATAAGCAGAAAATAAATTTTTTTTAAGTCACGTGATATATGTACGTGTATGATATTTCTTTTTATTTTATTAATTGTAAAGAAAAGTAATAAAATATGTATTAGTGGTAGTGATCAAGAGACTTGAATGAGGGAGACTTCGATGATTAAACTGCACAGACAATATTTTAGTACAGAAGTGAAGTGTTTGCTAATTAAAAGTATAAAAATAGCTAGTATTAAATAAAATAATGTGAAAATAAAAAAAAAAGGTAAAAAAAATAAACGGAGTTGTAAGTCATTAATCTTTCAGAGTGGATATTGCTAAATTCGGAGTTCGTGATGAAAATTATAAAATAATTGTGCTGATAATTGCAGACACAAATAAGTCACTACAGTGGCCTACATACATTAAAGTTGCTTGGCGATAGCCTCTCCTAGGCTTTGTCTTTAATTTTAAAATTTAGACATAGCCTAGAATAGGTTAGGTCAGGACTTGTGTTCAACAAATTTCAATTATTCATTTATTTATTTATTTATTTATTATAAATATGAACAGTTATAATAACAAGTTAAAAGTGTGATTATAATTAAAATATTTTCTAATTTCTTCCTTCATAGACTTAAAAAAAAAACTAACTTCATTTTTCAGCCAAGAAAAATTTCTCAGTTCAAGAATTTTTCTACTTGAATTAAGATGATGCTCTGATTTTTTTAGTTCAAGAATTAATCTCTTGAATCAAGTTAATTTTTTTTTCAGTGTATGAACAGTCTACACTGTTATTTATCAGCACTTCTCAATACAATCATCATGTTTCCAAAACGAAAAAACTGATGTTAATTGACGTTATGCTGAAGTACCGACATTCTCAAGGTCGCACGCTCTGTGCAGACTACTATCACGCTTCGAGCCAATTTTTTTTTTTTTTTTATTTTACGAATATAATTTAGTATAATATAAATGCCATCTGATAATCAAAATAGAAAGTAGATTTCTTTGAAAATTTTAATTAAAATTGATGTCATAAATTGGATTTACATTGAAAAAAAAAAAAAATTACTTGATCAAAAAAAATGTTTACAAAATTTTACTCTTGTTTTAAAATATTCAGTATTCTTAATTCAAGAAATTTACTCTTTAATCGAAAACATAAAACTTTTAGATGAAGAAAACAAGTTCTTCATTCAAGAATTTTATGGATTCAATAAAGCACTTTATCATTTTTAACAAGATATTACATAGTTTGTTCAAAATTTTCAATCTTTTGTAACATTGATTAAGATATTGCCAATTTATTTTAATAATATCAACAATGTTTGGATTTCTGTTGGTTTCTATATAATCATAAATACGTTTTTTTTCTTGTATTTCTAATGAAGAAACGTTTTTTTGAACCAATAATATAAAATTCTTAAACGGAATTACTCTTAGTTAAAAAAAATTGTGTCTTCGATAAAGAATTTGATTGTATTTCTGTTCAATCAAGTAGTTTTTTTTTCTGCATAGAATTTCCTATAATTTGTACATTGTTCAAAAAATATTATTGTTTATAAGCTTTACGCTTTTAAATAGATTGAATTTATTATTACTATTTTTGAGTTCAGGTTAATGAAAGTTTGTGTTAAAATTTTTTATCTTAAATACGAAACACTTTGGTGTATTGATTTCCCATTATTGTATCAAATTAATGTACAAAAGGGTTTAATATAAAAATTTTTAATAGAAACTTTTTTGACAAAATGAAAAGAAATGTTTTTTTTTTTTTCTGTGTGAAATAGAATTGTGCCCAAAATTACAGAAAAATCTCTATTTAATTGCACAGATTGTCCTATTTAGTAGATTTGATAAAAAATAACACTATTATTTATATATTTATTTATTTTCATTAGACCCAAGAATTTAATAGCTATTAAAAGGGTCACAAGTACATAATTAACAAATAACAAGATAGCGTTAGTGTACAATAATAATAATAATATAATCCATAAAAGAAATCTGTAAATTTATCGAGGATATATTTTTTTTGATCTCATGACAGAACTGTCTAAAAATATTTTCGTAATATGTTTCGTGTAGTTGAGTAGGTTTTAAATTTATTACCTCTTATTATTTTAAACAATTTTTTTTCCGCCAAAAATATCTTAGATCAAAAAAATGTCGTACAAAAATATCTTAATTTTATTATCAATTCCCCTCATACTGAAAAAACTTCTGTCTAAAAGAAAAACACTTGCAAAACTCTTTCTTCCCCTTTTTCCTCAAAAAAAAAAAAAAAAAAAAAAAAAAAAAAACCTAGAGTAGGTCATTTCCTTCATTATCTTGAGATCCTTTAGTTAAGAAATATTTGTATTGAAAAATTTTTTGTATGGAATTTTATTGTTACAAGATTTTTTGTTCTGAGGCGAAGCGTCGGCCAGTAATTACATGTGATCTGAGACATTTCTTACTTTACTGCGCTAGGTATGTAATATACTATTACACTTTTTCACTGTTAGTGAAGGTTAAAAAAAAAATAAATTTTGTTTGTTAATTGAAGATACTGCATCCAGTATAAAAACTTTCAAGAACAAAATTTTCGACAACTTATTTAATTTAAATCTTTAACTTACTAAAATTGTTTAAAAGTTATCTAAAGATCTCCAGTTAAATCACTTGTCTGATAAGATTATTGATACAAATTAAACTGCAGTACTAGTACTAGTATATATAGTATTTAAATCAGATACTTTTAAATTATTTCAAATCATTTTAAATAATTTCAAATTAGATTTCTTAATCAGGGCTATCAGTAAATATTGATTATACGTAATATTTAAGTTAAAAACTTTAGTACTAATTTACATTAAACTTAATTATTGTATTTTATTATGTATATTTTTTTATTAGCCATTTGGCCATTATTGTATGGGGATAAAATAAATATCTATCATTTTTGAAAAAATTATGTTAAAGGTTAATGGGTCATACCATGGTATGAATTTTTATTAAACCCAAAAATTTCATTCATCAATATAATTTTTAGCTAATTTATAAAGATTAATAGTTATAGAAAATACAAAAATCTCTACTTCGGTAATTTTTCATGGATAACTTTTGAGTAGCAAGAGTAATTTCTGTGAATTTTACTTAAATTCAATGCTGATAAAATAAGCTTTAAATTACATTTTTTATTTTTTATACTACAAAAATTTTACCCCTTTAAAGGAAGTTTGAAGTTCATTGCACGGATAACTTTAAAATTCAGCGTTTAGATATCGACTTCTATTTTGGATGCCGAATGGCTTCTTTTAAATGAGCGTTATGAGGCGTGTTTTTTGTATTTTCCAAACTTTTTAAAAATTTTATCTTCATCGCGATCAAATTATATTATACAGAGTAATAGAGTCTTAGATTGATTAAATTTTTTAATAAAACAATATTTTTTTTTCCTCCAAGATAAAAATTTTTATTTTTTTTCTAGATTTATTATACTACGAAGATGAGTGCAGAGTGGAGCGAAGAACGCGAAGTGCTAATAAACACTTGACTAAGTTTAAGAACATAAAGGTGACTAATAGTCAGGAAATATGAAAGCTCGAAGCTGTGGGAAAATCTAGAATTTCAAAATTAAATAAATTTAAGATAAATAATAAGTTTTAGAATATTATTCACTTTATTATTATTATTATTATTATAAAATTTATAATTTAAATAAGACATAATTAGACTATATTTATCTATTATTACTACAATTGTAAATCACAAAAAAAATACTGTTGTTAGAACGTTTGGTAGTTGTAAACATAGTAATTATAAAAGCAAAATAAATTAATAAAAAATATTACTTTTTGTAATTGTAAATATTTTAATTTTATGCTAATCGTTATAGACTAATAATTTAAATATTTTTCCAAACTTAGAATAATTAAAAAAAATTTGAAGGTAACTATTTCACGATAAAATTTTTAATAGTCACAACCATAATAATAAACCGATCTAGTTGAGAGATCCTTATTGTTTTTCTTTTTCTAATATTAATTAGAAGCCATAAATAATTTTATTAAAAAGGAATTAAAGCCGTCGACGGCGTAATTGATTATCAAGCGCCGCTAATTGACGCAAAAATCCATCATTTGGATGAATGTCACGGCTTTTACGAATTAAGCGTATCGCATCTTCACATAGCATATTACGCTTAATCATCAAGAAAGCAATGACACATGTTGAACTTCTTGATATTCCCATCATGCAATGTACAAATACCTTACCTAATCAATCAAGTTTGTTTAATAAGTAAATAAATTATTAATAAAAACATTTTTTGAAGGTATTATCAATTCTATTTTGTAATCTTTGAATAATTTAAAATTTTAAATCCTATTAAAAAAAAAAAAAAAAATAGAAAATTTGTTTATTGATTTCTTCTATAAATTTTTGAAGACCACACTACATATACGGATATAAAAAATCTTACAGTTTGTTTTGAAATAGACAACATAAATTTGTAAGTCAGTATAAAGTTAGATGTTTATTCTATAAATTTTTTTTCTTTAAATTATCCCTATAAAATATTTAGTTTTCATATAATTACTTTTACACAGAGAAAATGAGTTGAGCTAAGAATTTTATGTTTTACTCTATAATGTTAACTCTATTAAAACTTTCTTAGTCTCCATCCAAAATTTTCTAGACGCAAGGAATGTTTTTTTCTGTTTACACGCAGTAAGAAAAAAAATAGTTTTTTGATTTACAAAACTTAATTTTCCAAAAAATTTTATCAAAAGTAAATGATTCAAAATACCTTCAAATGTTTTTTGTTCATAAGCCAATAATTATATTAATTAATACATAAATTAAAGATAAAACTCACCATTATTTTTCAAAGCTTCATCAATAAAATTAGCGACATCGTTAAAATATTTACTTATATCGACAGTTGGTAAATCGCTTACTGGTATTCCAAAATATTTAATTGGCGTATCACGATAATAATGTTGATTTGTATTAACATGCCCAAAACGATTCCCTTCCGCAGCATTCAAAACGTGCGTAATACCAATTCTCTGCAGGTATGGTTTATTCTTTACAGTTTCCCTGTAATTAAATTAAAAAAAATTTATTGCAGATAGTAATACTTTTTTTTTTTGTTTTTAAGTGTAATGAAATGATTTTTAGTCAGTATTTAATAAAACCAATATTTTAATAAATTTTCATTTAATAAAATTTTCAACTATACTTATGTTATAATCATTTGTATTCCCATGCAAGATATATGTTTAAAGATTTAATAATGATAACTGAATGTAATATTTGATCATTTTTAAGTAGGGGGACTATTCTATTTCTGATCATATCAGCATAATTAAATCTTTTCCTTCAAGGTAATGAAAAATATGATAATTTGAAAAAAATAAATTTTAATGTAAATTTTTCGATTAAAAAACAAACTGAAGAAATGATAAAAAAAAAAGTACATCTATAATACAAAAAAAAAAAAAATACTAGAAATCGCTAAATTTATTCAGATTAATTTTTTCAACAATTTGCGCTGGGAATTTAATATTTTTCTCCATTAAGAGGTTTAAAACTAATTAAAAAAATTTATTTCTGACTGTTTTCATGATCCTTATCTTAACTATGCCGAAAAAACGAATAATTCTGAGGAAATACAAAACCAGAAATCGACGTTCTAATTAGCAAATTTTCTAACTCCATTTTAGAGAATCTTCCATTTGTATGAAAAAATAATTAGTTCAAAATTTATTATCACTTTAAGAAACCATTTAATATTTAATAGAGGTCTAATATTTTGGTTTGGATCATTCAAATAATTTATAATTGGACTATTGGATTGCTACATCAAAATATTAGAAAATCATCCTCTAAAAAATAAGGAATTAGACCAATTGCTAATTAGACCGTCGAAATGTCTTCTTTTCAATTTTTTTCGACCAAACAGTAACTAAAGTATATAAAAAACTTACGCATCTCCGATGTAAATATTTGGATAGACTTCATCACAGTCTATATCCTGCGTGTAGTTATGAACTTCATGTTCAAAACCTGGTATTGGTTTGAACTCACTTCTAGTATCTCTCAATGCACGGGATAACGTTTGAAAAGTTGTTTCACCACCTTCCAGATGCTGGAGAAAATCCTAAAATTTATAATGTTACATAAAAAAAATCAGAAAAATCGAATTTCATAAAACAAAATTTAAACAAATACTCTGTCACGATCTCTCCAAGTGATTCTCATTTTACAAGTTTATTCAATTAAATGGTATAAATAAATAATTGAAATAATTAATCAATTCAAGTCATATATACAGAAGTATAAAGCTGTGAATACTAAAAAATAATATTGAATATGAAGTATCAAAGATAACTTCAGTAGGCGTATAATGAAAAATTTTATTTTTAAACATTACGAAACAATCACTATATTTATTTTTATTTTTTATATATAATACTCGGAGTGGTAGCACAAAAAACAATACTAGAGTACAATCATGCAACATGAAATAAAAATATTTCTTGCTAGGAATTAAAAAAATAAAAGTTTGAATTTTTAACCTCACAATGTCATGAATCATCATAAAGTTTTATATTAATTACTTAATAAAAATTCTTTTTTTTTTTTTTAATATGACAATAAATAATCAATTTAATTATGAAATAATTTCGTAAAGATGAACTTACTTTATTATGTGAACCGAAAAAACTCGCCATAATTGCTCAGTAAACACACAAAATTTTCACAATTTTTGCTCTAACATTTACTACGCAGTTCCTACAAAAATAATTTACATAAGCTTGAAAATAACTGTACTGCTGAGCTATACTAAATTATCTAATTAATTCCAATGACAATTGACAACAAATCGAGCATTTACACAACAGAATTACTTTATAAGATACTTTTCAATAAATAATAAAAGTATTTGCAATTTACAAGAATTTACAGAGATTAGCTTTATTTTTAATAGAAAATTCAAGATCAAGCGATAACTCAGATACTTGAAATTATCAGTGCAACATATTATTGATAATGTTTCGTTTGTGCAGTCACTTTTCACGCGCTCACATCTCACGTGTATATATTGACAATGACAACAAACACAAGCGCCATTTTTTATAAATTTTTATTGCTATGACGTTTTATTATCATTATTATTCACTAATCTTCAAAGTGACTTTTCATGAAGTTAAAATATTTAACTCCTATTGGTTGCTTCAAAATGCATCGAGAAATTTAAAAATTTAAAAATGGTAAATGGAGTTTTCGATTTCTGTACGGTTCATTAGACCGTCCACAAAGTATTTTGATAAAAATAAAATTTTGTCAGTGAATTTAACATGATTAAAAAAAAAAAAAAAATCTTAATGATTTAGAAATAGGGTGCTTAATATTTCTGCTCATAAAACTGATTTAAAATTTTTTTTTAAATTCATCAAAATTATAAAAATTAAAAAAAAAATTTCTTGTGACTTTTTGATTTAAAATTAAAAAAAAAAATTAATATTTTAAAAATTTTTCAATCGCCATACTTATGTTGGCTAATTTAAAGACATCGTACTCACTGTACAACATTTTTTTCAGCGGCCCTCTCAGAGAGATTCACTGCAACAGCTTTTAAAATCATTATTTTGCATGAAAAAAATTTTTTAAATAAAGTTTAAAAAAAGCGCCATTCGGCCATACCCGATATGGATAGGTAGATTTCTCGTTTGAATATTAAAAAAAAACACGTTATTAAAAGGCAATAATGTCCTAAAATGTATTTTTTATCATAATTTTGCAAATAACGATATGAGACCGACTACAATAAATAGATATTTAAAGACATCTACCTAAAAAAATAGGATTTGTAACAGATGAAAGTTTTTTGATAATAAAAGCTAAAAATTCATTTATTCTAGATTTTTTTTAATTTTCCAAACTACGAAATGAATTGAAAAATGGATCAAAAGGCGACGAATAATAGCTCAAATTAAAGATAATTATGTAAATTTTTTTTTTAATTTTCCTAACTACGAAATAAATTGAAAAATGGATCAAAAGGCGACGAATAATAGCTCAAATTAAAGATAATTATGTAAATTTTAACATAAATTTAATAGATTTAAGCTATCTTTTACGACCTAAAAATTATTTGAAAAGAAAGGCCGAAATTAATTAAAAAAATCATTAAAACTAGACAAATGATAGTTTATATTGAAGGTAATTAAATGAAGTTTAGGATAAATCTGATAGATTTTATCTATCTTTTGAATCTGGAAAATTATTTTCATAAAATCTACGAGATTCAAAATTTTTTGAAAATGAAAAAAATTTTTAAACACCCACAACTCGTAAACTAACCGGCCGATTTTGCTCATCTTCGAACTTGATCTTGGTATTAATCCACAGAATAAGCTCACAAAATTTCATGACGATCGGTTGAGAACTGTGGGCGCAATCCTGCTGACATGGCGCGTTATATCACATATATATGTATATACATACATAAATACATATATAAACTTTTGAGCCAATGCCATGATCATATTATGACAAAATTTTGTAAAAATTACGATATGAGACCGGCTACAATAGATAGATTTCTAAAGAAATCTACCTAATTACAAAGCCATGTTTATAAATTTTTATGTAAATAAATTGAAAGGCACTTTAAGAAAAAAATCCCAAAAAAAAAACACTTTTCTATGACATTAATGTTAGCAGTCACTTGACCATTTTTTAATTTTATTTAACAAACAAATTTCTTCCGAAAAATTATATTCAAGAAATCGCATTTTTAATTTCTACATGTTAATTATTATTCTCATTTTTTTGCCATAATTTAGTTGTTACAAAAATTCTTAAAATTATCAAATATCTGTTAAATTAATTTTCATCGCTTTTAGTTTCCTCCAGAATGAAGGTTTTTATCATTATTTTTATTTATTTAAAAATGAAAAAAAATTTAATAAACTGTATAATTAATAAAGTGATAAGTATATTCATCAATTTTTTTTTAATTTCAAAATAATAAAGAAAAAACTTACCATAAAATAATATAAATATTCCAATGAAAATTGGACAAATATCGTTTTGAATTCCGCGCCAATATTTAAACCAATCAAATGTTGGAATTGAAAATAATATAAGGCGTTTGTTTTCATGCAGAGATTAATGAATTTTTATAAAATAAGATTATAATAAAAATTGTTTTGCTAAAAATAAAAATAAATTTATATTTTATATAATTAACAATAAAAGAATTTATTTAAATAATTTTAATCAGAAATTTATAAATAAAATGATGAATCATACCCTATCTATGACGTCACACTGTCATCTGTATTTTTTTTCACTGTTCAAAATGGCGATAGTCACTCCTGAGACTGTTATAAGTCAGTTATTTGTTGAAATATAAAAAATACGTCGCGATTATTATTAAAATCGTATTAACTACTGTATATTTATTTACCTAAAAATACAATTAAGAATTTAGTCTAAGAGAATAATATAATTAAATTATTAGCAGTAAACAAAATATAGTTTCGTAAAAAGTCTGGTGCAACAAAGAATCCAAAATGAGTTTCTTTAGCAATTTCTTTGGTGGCAGTAAAAAGGCTGCTGCCCCAACAACCAGTGAAGCAATACAAAAATTACGTGAAACAGAGGAGATGTTGGTGAAAAAGCAGGCGTTTCTCGAGACTAAAATCGAATTGGAACATGCGACTGCCAAAAAAAATGTGACCAAAAACAGGAGAGGTTAATTGTCATTTCACCTTGCTTATAATAATTATATATAATATAACTATTATTATTTTCAGTGGTCTGAACAATTCATAATCATGACATTCAAATTGCCAAATACTTGACAATTTTTTAATTTTTCTTGAATAATAATTAGCTCTAAAAAATTTTAATTATAATTTTGAATGACAACTAATTTAGTAGATATTTATTAGATTTTAATAATTTTTTTAACAACCAAAATATAGCAAAAAAAAATTGACATGTAAAAATTGAAAAAAATCAAAAATGCAGTTTTTTTTTTTAAATTATTTTCCAGAAGAAATTTGTTTGTTAAAAAAAATTATTAATTAAGTGACTATTTAACTTGAATGTCATAATTTTTTAGAACCTCAAAATATGGAATTTTTTGACTAAATTTTTTTTGCTATGATTTATTAATTGAAAAATTTATAAGAATCGTCAGATATCTCTTAAGTTTAGTATCATTTATAATCATAGTTTCCTACAGGCTATGATATTGACTTCCATGATTACTGTTTTAGATACTTGAACTGAAAAATTTTTAACTTGATTACATCTTAAGATTAATAAATATTTGCTTAAATGTTATTTGGAAATTTTTATAAATTTACATTAAAATTAAAAAAAAAAAAAAATAGTCTATATCTGTAACTGGTATTGCCACTTAAAGTCCTTTGTTTATTAATTATGATACTGGAATCAAAAGATACTTGACAATTTTTTGATTCACTTATAATTTTGTAAACTTCAACTTATAAAATTTTTTTTAATTTTCTTCACAATAATTTAGTTATTAAAAAAAAGCTCTTATAATTGTTAAACTTCAATTAATTTCAGTTTTAGTTATTTTTGTAACTAAAGTAGTTAATTTTCATTTTTCAGTTCTAATTTATTTCTAAAGGATTTTATGAGTTAAAACTAGTTTTTACATTTTGATCCGCAGGTTTATTATTGCGTTTTTCATGTAAAAAAAAAATCATTATTTTTAGCATCATGAAACAAGAGCGGGTAAATAGTTTTTTAAAGAGTTATAGAAGCATATTTTTGAATCATTAGAAAGAAATGGTTATTTATAAAATTGTAATTAATTAGAAGTCTGTTATTTTAATAATAATAATTTAAATTTAATTATATTGGATATAATTAAAAACCTGACAATGTAAAAAAATGATACAAGATTGAAATAAAAATAATTTTTTTATGAACTTTACAGTTGCAATGCAAGCTTTAAAACGTCAGAAGCGTTATGAGAAACAATTACAACAAATTGATGGTACCTTATCGACAATAGAAATGCAAAGAGAAGCATTAGAAAGTGCTAATACAAATACAACGGTACTGCAAACGATGAAAAATGCAGCAGACGCATTGAAATCTGCTCATCAACATATGTAAAATTTTTTAAGCCTAAATTTGTGCATGAAACCATTTATTGGCTGTATTAATTTATTTATTTTTCTTGTATAGGGATGTGGATCAAGTCCATGATATGATGGATGATATCGCTGAGCAACAAGACGTTGCTAAGGAAATATCAGACGCAATATCAAATCCAGTTGCATTTGGACAAGATCTGGATGAAGATGAATTGGAGAAGGAACTTTCTGAACTTGAACAACAAGAGATAGATAAGGATTTATTTTCAATTCCTTCAATTTCAATTGATCAAGACCAACTTCCGGACGTTCCGGCTATTGCTGAACCAGTCGCACCAACTAAGACAAGTAAGTTATCAAACTTGTTATTAAAATTTTTGTTCAAAATTAATTTAACGGTAAATTTATATTTTTAATTTTCTAGAAACAAAAGTTACCGAACACGACGAGAATGAATTTAAAGAACTCGCAAATTGGGCCTCGTAGATTGATCGGATGGATAAAAAGAAATACGAAAAAAAAATTAAGTTATTTATCAAAATACATTATCTTAAGCTTTGGAATAATCATCAGATAATTGTAAAAAATTATGATTTAAAAAAAAATGATAAAATATTGATTAAGCTTTTGCTATTTTATTATTTTACTTTTAGTGTAAATAGCCTGTCTAATTAAATACATATTGATCAATATTTTTATCGTTTATTTTTTGACATTCACTACTGAGCGATTAAAAAATTTTAAAAAGCCAGAAATTTTAGCTTAATGAATTCATAAAATTGATGGATTTATACGAAATAAAACTTAAAGTTGATTATTGTTCGTATTTTTAATGGATAAAATCTTATAAATTTTAAGAAAGTATTTTATTATTTTTTTAAGTTTACTCACCATTGTATTATTATAAATCCATAAAATTTTTACAGTAATTGTTTTTTTTTTGTTTTGGCTGTTCATGGAATGTTTTCTATTCAATTTTTAAGGTTTTGAAGACTTTATTCGCTTGTAAAAACACAAGAACTTTATTTTATATAAACCTAATGATTTCTAGGATTAACAAGGCAAAAATTCTCCGCTTTCTTTTTTAAGAGCCTATAACAATTTATTGAAAATGATGATATAGTTACGATTAACCAGTGACCTTATAATATAAGTAATAAATAAAACGACACAAAAATATTGTTTATTAAAATTATTATTTACATATAACTATCACCAGAAATAAATACAAATTTGTAAAAATTAATTTTATAAGTTTTATTTCAAATTATATTTAAATAAAACACAAATTTTATCTTATATATATATATATTTTGCACATTAAAAATATCCCAAGTTTTACAAACTTAGAATATCAAATTAGTATTGGAAATAATGACTTATTTTATTCTAGAAAATTGAAAAAACTCCGATAATAATAATCAATAATAATATTGATGTTAATACTAATGATAAAGTAACTGATGTATTTTAATTACCACATTAAATTTTAATATTTTCTATTTAATATATAAATAAAATTTTGCTTTATAATATCAATAGATTTTTGGTATCTACAATGGATTAACAAAACTGTTTCCATAATTATCTTACTAATGCATTCAATAAATACAATGATCTATCAAAATATTTTTTTTTAACAAATGAAAAAAAAGTTTGATGGAATCATCAAGATCAAAATTAATTTTAAATATAAATGTACAATTGATTTTCACGTAAAAAATGTTTAATTCGGCAATTATTCAAGCAATTAAATAATATTGATTATTGCAATAACGTTAAAAACTTGAAGAAATTTTTTCAATGTACAGAAAAAAAAAATCTAATATTCTTCACCTTCATAATCGTCCGCGTAATCATCAAAATCATCTTCTTTTAAGTATTGTTTTAAAATATTCCTTGCAGACAAATGTTCATCATCATCATCGTCATCATCTTCATCATCGTAATCGTAACCTACGTTTTCTTCTTCATCCTCAACTTGTTCTTCAGCATCAGCTTCAGCTTCAGCTTCTTCGTGATGTTCTTCGTCAGTTCTGGTATCCACCACTGATTTAACATCAGTATCTTCATTTTCCGATACACTATCTAACCTATTTCTTGCAGTTTCTCCATCCGTGTCTTTTTTACTATTACTCAGCGTATTATTCTTATTAACTTTTAATGTTTCTAAAACATCATAATTAATTTTTAACGATATTCTCTTCTCTTGTAATATTTTTTCAATAGCTTCGCCAGTAGTATTAGCTGGTACAGATTGTTTTTTTTTGTTTCCAGTTTTTCGTTTTTTCTTTTCCGGCTTTCCTTCTTCTATAGCTTTAAGTCTTTTTTCCTCTTTTTCTTTTTGTAATTCCAAATATTCAGCATTCACAGAATTCCACATAACTGTTTTTTTCCCAGCTTCTGTTTCTGACAAAATATAACTATCCAACTCATCATCATCTAATCCATTAAGATCAATCTCACCAGATCCATTATTGAATTTATCAACTTTCTCATTTACTTCTTTAGCATTGCGTGAATCGGTAAATGAATATGGTAATCCCATCGAGGCTATGTCCGGTCCCAACTCAATATTACTGCTCTTTGATTTTCCGTCAGTTTTATCAGAATTATCTTCCAAACAATTCTGAATAACATCCACTGTATTTTTATGTATAAAACGATTTGTCTCGATATCTTCAGTATTACTCATTTCACGCGATCTCTTCCTCGAGATTTGGTGCTGACTGAGTTGTTTATCAATTTCATTTTGCAGATCGTCAAACTCTTCATCGATATTCTCCAACTTTTGTAGACGTTCGCGGTCTTTTTTCCGAGTTGCTTTGAACGCAGGTGGATCTTGTTCTTCTTCCAAATCAACAGTCATGAATTCATCTAGCGTCAACGCACTTGACGGAGTATCACCAAATTCAATCAATCGTTTACGTAGTGTTGATTCATGTACCTTAACTATTTTAATAATATCACTGGGTGTACGATTAAACTCATGCAATCGTGCTGCTATCAATAAAGCAGCTCCACACAAACCTGATGGCCTTCTACCACTATGAATACTGTCACGCTTCATCCTAGTAACTAATCGCGATGCAGTTGTTGATACTTGATGAGTTTTAGCTCCAAAATCTAGTTTGCTTGCATAACGAATTATGTATAAACAGGGGTCCATTGAAGGCATTGTCAAAGAAAATGCAGTAATAAATTTTAAATACGTACGTCCTAGTTCATAAACATCTATTTGAAGTACGTCGCTAATGTCAATTAATAAATGTGATGTTCTTTCTGTTCTGCATGTTATGTAAACACATGCAGCGTGATTGTGGGCTTGTTTTCGACCACGGGTTAAATTTTTAGCTAAGGCCATTTTATAAAAATTCACCGACATCTCGATGTTGTATGGTTTTAAATGTAATTGCTGACATAAATGAGTTATTCCTTTGCGCGCATTCTGAATTGTTATTTCATGAGACTCTTTGCTGTTGATTCGGTAACCACCGCCAAAACCCGACGCTGAACCTGTTGAATCACTTGCTACAAATTGACCCACGACCATCATGTTACCTGATGAAGTTTCTTCAAATGAAGTTTCGCTTACAATTAGTTGGTCTTCGTAGACCACACCACATGCTGTACATACGGAGTCTCCACGAGATGGATCCGTTTCGATGTCATTGGATCCACAGCTACGACATTTAGCTGACGACGACATGATTGCTCCTTATATTGACTCCTAAAATTTAATTTATAGTTGAAATTATAACAATTACTATTATTTATATACTCAGTCTCTATGATTATTATATGTGACAATATTCAAATGCTCAGTGAAATTTCAACAGATTGTATTTTTGTTTACACGGTAAACAAAATTCATTATTGGTAAATTTTTTAAACGAATCTCGTTTTTAACACAGATTATTTTATCACTTGAACTTAATTTATTTCTACACTTAACATATTTCAATGATTTATGACCATTATTTGCTTGTAAGCTATATAGTTAAATTAAGGCTAATGCATTAGACAGAAAAAATTTAACGCGTAAAAAAAACGTCAAACAAGTGTATCACTCTCGATGTAAGCCGCGAAAAATAGAGGTCTCTTTTCTCCATGATGTAAACATTGAATATGTGTAAATGCGCATGCGTGAAACGATTTATGTATTTATGTTTATGTGAGTGAAATTTTTAAACTTACCCAAAAGCGTCATAAAAAAAAAAAATGTTGACTTTTTGGTAGATTTCACTCAACAAGAAGTTAACAAATTAATAATTATCAACTTAAATTCAACAAAACATTAATAAAAAAAAATTTGTGTAGCTTGGGTATCGGTATTGTTTTAAAATAATTTTATAAGTTTTATCGTTTTCTTTTTTTAAGGGTACACGGAAAAAAGAAAACAGGAATAATTATACGGTATTAAGCGTGAAATCGGTCTCGTCGTTATCAAAACTAGAGAAATTACATTTTTCTAAATTCAATTTTTTAATTTAATTTTCAGAGCTTTCAATGTAAATATTACGTTCTACAATGTAATTCTAGAATAAAATCTGTAATAATTATAATCTGAAGCTGTAATTTTTTCATTTTTCATCACGAAGCGCCACGTTGCATTATATACTGTAATTTTTCGAGTTTTCTTTTTTCCGTGTAGGCTGTAGTAAATAAATTTTTAGAAATTTTATTTTTCTAATTATATCTTAAATAAATTTTTAAATCAAGTAAAATGAAGTTGGCCTATTGGGGCGCAGTACGTATCGTAATCTTCCCCTGAAAAATAATATATAACTAGCCATTGCGAAAACTTTGCAAAAGTACATTTAAAAATTTTTCCTAAAAGTATAATTAGAAAAATAAAATTTTAGGAAATAATCTATTTATTAAACATAATTTATAGTATAAACTGATATGTACAAAACTTTATTGCTCAAATCCATGAGTGTTTCCATGTTTCTATTTTTCTATTTTTCTATCTATGCCAACACTTATTAGTCGCAATCCATCATATTGATAATGACTATGTTTATAGTTTTACATGTACTTTAAATCATCACTTTCTGTATAATTTTGCCATCGCTGGCTTTTTGCCTTGACATTCAGGTTTAAATAAATAAAATAAAATAAAAAATATTACGGCCTATAGCCTTAAAACAATAAAATACAATAATGTTTCTTCATTCCTGTTAGCATTCAGCTATTTTTTTACAATTAATTATTTGCATTCTATACATATAGCACAGCTCTACTTAAATTTTACAATTAATTACTCGATTTAATATAAGTTTTTAATGATCTTTTAAATCTTTCTCATGTTTTTTCTTCTTTAATTTAATTTGGCAAACAATTGTACCACTGAAAGCCTTTATAAGTTATCGATTTTTCAGCAGTGTATGTTCGCGTACGGTTTATTCTTATTATCATTGATCTATTGCGCGTACAATATTTATTATTTTCGCTATTTAATTTTAGATAATTTTGTAAATATATAGGTGTAATTTTATTTATCATTTTGTAGACCAATATTAAGGTATTGTACTTTAGTCTTTGTTCGATGGACACCCACCCAAGAGTATCTAACATTAGCTTAATTTTAGTATATTTATCAACCTCTAATATTGATTTTATGGCCCAATTTTGTAACTTTTGTAATATTTCCATATTTTTTTTATCATAATTTATTATGACCGTACAGCAATATTCAAAGTGAGGCAAATAAACAAATACATAGCTAATATATAAATTTTAACGTAGAGATCAGTATTTTAAAAAGTAAAATATGGGTCATTCCATGTCAAATCGACCAATAGTTGGAATCGACCCCTTTCGATTTGGATGAATTTTGGTCAGAAGTTTTCTTTTATCATAAAATGAAGTTCTGCTAAAAGAAAAAAAATAAAAAAATTTTTTTCGAAAAATATGCATATTCAAAATTTCGCGATTTTTCTAGTTTTTCAATTTTGTTGTTGCAATATCTCGAATGCTATTTTTTAGACATAATCTTGCATCCTTAAAATAAGTCATCCTTAACTTATGATAGAATTTGTTAATTGTCCTTGTCTTTAACTTGTATAAAAGTGGCAAAAAACAAAAATAAATTTTTTTCTGAAATTCAAAAATTTTTTTTTGAATAAAAAAAAACCTCTATCCAAAAATTTCAGGATTTTTTAAGATCATTACAAGGTATCATACAAAAAAAATTGAGCCAAAATTTTAATGGCGGTCTTCATTTTTGACGATTTTCAAAAATTCAAAATTTGGCATTTTTAACTTCCCGCTAAAAATCTCAGATTTTCAAAAATCGGGAAGTTATTGTTTTCACCCCGTTTTGCAAAAATCGAGTTTTCATCAAATCTCGACGTTTGAAGGTCACAGGAAGCTTCCCTGACTATCCCCGCGAGGTTGTCACTATGTCTGTATGTATGTGTGTGTGTGTGTGTGTGTGTGTGTGTAAGTATGTGAATCGCTTATAACTTTTGAACGGTTGAACCGATTTCATCGCGGTTGGTGCCATTCGAAAGGGCTTCGCCAAACTTAGATTTCCTGAGAATGATTTTCTTAGCGGGAAGTTAAAAATCATTTTTGAAAGTGGTTTTTTTGGAATATCTTTTAAACAGCTCGATCGATCAACTTCAAAAACTTATCCGCTCTTAAGCTTGAAAAACCACGCCGATCGGCGCTAATCCGGTCAAAATCGGTTGATTTGTTCGAGAGATAGCGTGAACGAAAGAAAACCGAAAAAAGTGTTTTTTTCACATAACTTCGATATTTCTTTTCGGATCGTTTTTGGTGAAATACAATAATTTTTAGAGCTTAAAAAACCGCGTTGATCGCCGCCAAGAACGTAATAATCGGTTGATTGATTCGAGGGATATCCTCGACGAAATATTTGGAAATAAGGATTTTTTTCAACATAACTCCGACATTTTTTGGAATAACTTTCAAACAGCTCTACCGATCGATTCCAAAAACTAATCAGCTCTTAACATCACAAAACCACATCGATTGCCACCAAGCTGGTCAAAATCGGTTGATTCGTTTGAGAGATATCGTGAACGAAAGAAAACCGAAAAAAGTGTTTTTTCGGGATTACTCCGAAATTTTCGGTTCGATCAATTGAAACCTGAAAATAACTTATGAAGATAATAAAACTGCGTCGAATGGCGTGAACCGCGTGAAAATTGGTTGATCCATTCAAAAGTTATTGCGGTTTGAAAATTCCAAAAATAGTGTTCTATGAAACTTCTATCAGACTTTTGAGCTGGGAGAGCTCAAATACATTGAAATGGTATTTCTTTGAACTCAGTGAGCTCAAAATATCACATAAATTATATTTTGAGCTTAAAAATCTCAAAAATGTCATAAGTACAATTTTAAGCGCCCAGGAATGAAATTAGCGGGAAGTTGCACGGATGGCCTTTAGGGTGAACCGTTTTTCTAATTTTTTTTTATTTTTTTCCAAAATATTTGTTTTTTCAATATCCCCAAGTGTCCCCTTTTAAACAAACGAAAGTCCATTCCTGTATCTATAATAGCATTCGAGATATTGCAAAAACAAAATTGAAAAGCTGGAAAAATCGCGAAATTTTGAATTTGCATATCTTTCGAAAAAAATTTTTTTATTTTTTTTCCTTTGGTAGAACTTCGTTTTATGATAAAAGAAAACTTCTGACCAAAATTCATCCAAATCGAAAGGGGTGGATTCCAACTATTGGTCGATTTGACATAGAATGACCCATATATATTTTAGTTTCATGGTACAGTTTTTAACAAGTAACACTTACATATTTTAAAAATTAAAAACAGCAAAAATTGAAATTATACCAAAAAATGTACTCGTTTGTTCTTAAATAAATATACAATTTATAAGTTTAATTTGTTGAGGAAATCGTAATAAAACAACAAAATGCATTCAATATAAATAAAAATCAGATTTTTATGTTTTCAAATAATTTTTTATTAAAAAATTTACATATTCTTTTATTATACTTATTAAAAAGTCACTTCATATTTGATTAATATATAATAAAAGTAAAGAAGTAAAAAAATTTTCGAAGAACTTGAAAAAGTTATAAACGTTCGGAGTCGTGCGGGTGTTATTGTACTTTAATAATGAAATATATTTAATTTTAACTTTCAAAGTAATATCTATTCTATCTGTCTTATTAAGAAAAATAAAAACAGATTTTGTCCCAATATTTATGCACAAAGAGAATTTCATGATAGCGTCAACGATCTTTATATTTATATTTTATATTTCACTGTTTAAATAATGATAATTTTTACAATAATTCGATCGTAAAATTTAACATCTAGGTGGTTATATTTATCATCGAATGTAAATTGAATCTAGCATTGATATATTAAGAGCTATTATACAATAATTATAAATATTGAACTCATTTATAAGTTAAGCACAGAATCTTACGAATTAGAAATGAAAAAAATATCAAAACAGTTCGAAAAACGAGTTTTTCACAACCCAAGAGAATGATAACTCAAAAAAAATTCCGTTTATTTGTAATTTATGAAAATGAATTAATATATACTGACCTGGATAAATGAGATCTCTAATAATAAGTAAATTATATCAATTGAGAATGTATCCTACAATTTAATTTTCAGTACTCAATTGAAAGAATTTAACATTCTTAATTATTGTATAATAGTTCTTATTATGAGAATACTAGAGTCAACTACATTGAGTGGTAAATGTAACCATCTAGATGGTAAATTGTAAGAATTACCATTATTTAAATTGTAAAAAGTACAATACAACGATCGTTGACAATACCATAAAATTCTCTCTGTGTACCTTTTGTTGTAATAAGAGATTGTTAGATGATCTTTTATTTTTTTTTAATTGCTCTATACGTACATTGAAAAAATAAATTTGTTGTCATAACAAAAGTCATAACAGTTGTCATAATAAATGTCATTTGTAATGGTAATGTAAATATGTTGCTAAAAAAAATTATGCTACTTGATAAGAAATTTAATATCTGTTTGATCCCGCAGATCAATCTTTAAATATCCTGTCACTCTTTTACTTTCTGGAAATAAAATTTTTATAACTAAAAAAAAAAGTACATTTCTCTTTCAATCAATAATTGATTAATTATTGAAGTTATTGTTCATTCTCAAAATTTTTTAATATGGCATTAGGTATGAGAAATAAGCTGAAATAAAAAGAAAATTTTATCCAATTTCGAAAATTATAAATAATTCAAATAATTTTTTTTCAAATTTTATACGTAAGATAAGAGTCAGGTATTACAACGTGAGACAACTCAAGGTAACATTGATAATTTTGTTTATAAATTTCTTGTTAATGAGAAGTTGTTAAGTTCTTCCCCAAGTCCACTCGAAAAATCCACACTTTTATTGTGATTGATAAATATTAATCTATAGATAAAAATGTTTTTCGTTTTTTGTTGCTCAGAAAAACTATCAAGTCTAAATGTTTTGAAATAATATGGATAGTAAATATTTGAATAGCTTTTCATATATCAAAAAGAAATTAATTATGCTTTTTTTTTAGGTATCATATCTAATTATTCTAATTAGCAAATTGTCTAACTCTATTTTATGGAATCTTCCATTTGTACGAAAAAAAACAATTAGTTCAAAATTTATTATCACTTTAAAGAACCATTTAATATTATTAATATCTAATACAAGTATAATATTTTGGTTTAAATCATTTAAATAATTTATAGTTGGACTATTGCTACATAAAAATGTTAAAAAATCACCCTCGAAAAAAATAAGGAGTTAGACCAATTAGGAATTGTTAATTAGACCATCGATATAATGGATCCCACCAATGCATAAAAAATCTTTTTTTCTCTAATTATCTTGAAAATTTTTGTCACGTATAAAAAATCAATTGAAAAATTAATAAATAAAATAATTTTACTAATAGATGAAAAAAAAATGATTCTAGAAAAGTTTTTGTGTTCAATATTTTCTTACAATTGACTTCAATAATTGATCAATCAATTGATTAAAAAGAGCTGTGTACTTTTTTGATAGTGAAAACTTCTTTTTTTGAAAGCAAAAAGGTAACGAGATATTTTAAAGGTTGATCAAGTAACATCATTATTTTTTGCAATAAATTTAAATTGCTTACCATAACAATTTACATTTCGTTACGTTTACAATATCATTTTGATCATTTTGTTGCCATAATAAATCGCATCGTACTTCTGAATTTTGTTGTACTAAAAATTTTTTTTAGTGTATATGTATAGAATACATATAAAATTGTTTATTTGTAGTTTTTTTTAATTTCATGTTAATCTATTTCTGTATTTTATTTTTTGCAAATATCAGGCAGTGAAATAATTAAAATATATTAAGCGACTGTCCCCTTTCAAAACACGTTAACTGATAGTTCTTAGATTTTTCTAATTTTTTCGATAAGAAAAAAATTTAATACTCCAGGTTTATAAAAAAATTTGATTTTTCAATAGAAAATAAATCAACTAAGAAATTTAAAATAAAAAAACTACCAAATTAAGTTTTTAAAGTATTAAAAAATCCAACAAAACCGTAAAAAATGAGGTTTTAAAATTTTGCAGTTATTTTGTTTTCAAATGAGACAACCATAAGAGCTTGTTAATTTTAATTTCATGAAGACAAATCTCAAAATATTTTATATTACTTATTATTTTTAATCTGAAGCAAAGAAATTTTTGTAAAAACAAGTTTCAATTGTTCAGTAACAAACTCGACATATTTTTCTATTTTAGGCTTAGCCACTTGCAATAAAGGTATTATTGCCCATTTTATAACATAAAAGATAACGATAGAAATAATTGATAATACAGGTGATGTTATTTTACTTAATGTGAATAACAATCCTCGTTTAGTTAAAATATCACAAAGCACATGAGCGAGGCCGATTACCAACTCAGTAAACAACGAAACGAATTGCTTTGTAGTTGGATTATTAATCACTAGAAAAGCTAACTTCTGTGCTGATGTTAATATTACTTCCCATATTTTCAAAGGAAGTTGATGGAGCTCCAGTTTTTTTAATGACATTTCCAGTTCTTCCGATGGTTGAAAATATTCGGGTTGGAAAGCTGTCTCTGCATGCAAATACTGCATAAAATCACAAAAATAATCTAATTCGGTGAGACCGTCATGTTCAACCATAGTTAATGAATTGTTGTCCTATAAAACAGAAATTAATCGTTGTATTTACAGTACATCTGAATTTCAGATATTTTTGAAATTTTACATTGCATTTTTACATCACGTCGAAATTCATTGATTCGTTTTTTTGGAGTTACCAAGAATGTAATTTTTGTAAAAAAGTCTGATTTCTTTATCGGTTCGTTTTTCAGATTTTTTAATTTGATTTTACGGAATCGGTAACATGATGTTAGAAGACAATTAATATTAACAACTAAATTTGTAATTGTTGTGGTTCGCTCCAAACCGTATACCAGCCACACCCACGAGAAATTGTAAATCAGATAATTAATTTTTTTCAAGGGTACTCAATGGTTTAATAACAAAATGATTATCAAATAGATAAATAATGAGAAAAAATTTCGTGTAAAATTTTGTAAAAACACTTTTTTTTTCTTTGGAAAAAATTAATATACAGTGATCAGTGATCACTATTACTATACTGCACAAAAATTGAATGATCCTTTATGTAAATTAAAATAATATACGAATGCCAACAATGCATTTCAAGATGGCAAAATTCTATATTAAAATACAAGATTTGATTGAAATTAAGGTTTTTATCATTTTTATGCACTTAAGTATTATTTATTAAACTTACCATAATCTCCAAATTTGTATTTTCTTCTCTTTGGATAAATATATTTCACTATAAATTATTAGTGAAACTAATTGCAAGAAAATTTTCCTTCTATATCACCCTGTGCAATCCCGTATAGGCTTAGCGAGACTGCAATAAATCTGAACGGATCTCTATTCTCGCTGCCACTACCTGCATTCAATAAGTATACACTTTTTACAAAGTACGATATGCTCTCGCCATATTATCCGGGGAAGTCCAGAACAACATTATAAATGTACATATATATTAAGTTTAATTTCCTGAAACACTATTGGTACGCTTGGGAGATTCGTGGATTAATTTCTGTCCACCTGGTGTCCTAAAAATGGACTTCTCACTGTTAAATAGTTTAAATAACTTATTTTTATCATTACACTGTTAAAAAAAAACTGTAAATTTAATACATTTTTCATATACATGTCTATTTTAAAATTACTTATTCGGTATATCAGCGAAAAAAAGAAGTCAAGTATATTAATATTACTTTGCAGTATAATAATTTTACTAATTATATATTAATCTTAATATTTTGTAAAGTATTATAAATTAAAAATTTTACATGTTAAAATTACTAGATTTTTTGTAATATTAATAGACAGTTATATAATATCATTACAAATTATGATTTATAAAGTCAACATCATGATGTTAAAAAAATATCGAGGTATAAAATTTTAAATTTATAAAATCTTTAGAAAATTAAATACATCGCATAGTAATTTTAAAGACAACAAATTTTAATGACTTTATAAACCAACGTACACAAAAATTACAAATCTTGCTGTTGTTTTTACTAGATATAAGTAGGCTACAATTCGGTTTTACTTTCATTACATTATGGCTGTTCCTGCAATATATAATTCGATTATGTATAATTATACATGAAAAATAGCCAAATATAATCACATATAAATATATACTTTTGTGATATTCTCAATAATACGGAGTTTCGCAAACCTTTGACAATGTATAGAATTTCTTTTATGATAAAAATTGTAATAAAAAAAATGTTAACAAATTCCGCGTAAAGGAATTTGAAAAAACCATGGATGGAATTTTTTAGAATATTTCTTAAAAGTTATCTGTTACAATTCTCGTTTATTACTTTCACGAAACCAGAGTGAATATTTACTATGCAATTGTAGTATTAATTTAATATTCAGACTATCAGTTATGATATACGTTTCAATAATTTTTCTACAAATTATAAATAGTTTTTTCACCATACTAACGTGATAAATTTTATATAATATTGAATCATAAAATTTACATTCCATCTTATAAATTTACAATTTTTGAAACCAATTTTTAATCTAAAACATGTGTATTAAAAAACAAAACTCGTATGAGAAAAAAACTTTTGATACATGTATTGTAAAAAGTCGGGATTTTTTTTAACAGTGTAGGTAATAGAACGGTCAGGATGGAGAAATTAATTTTTTTATCATCATAACCAAAGTGCTTTTGTAATAATTAATCATAAAATGTGTTTACTTGACCACATGCTTTTTTTTTAACAACTGTTTCCGCGTTCTGTCCAAATAAAAGTTGATGTAGTGGTAAAAGGCAGATAATTCAAAAAGAAAAAATTAATTTTTTTAACAACTATAAAGGGATCTACTTATCAAAAAGCTTTACGATGAGTATTACTGGAATAATATTTATTGAAGTTTATGGAACTTTTAAAAGACAAGCTAAAATTTTTAAAGTTGTTTATCCGATGATTTCCTTATGACTATTCCAAAACTGTCCTGATGTTTAAAAATTTTATTAAAAATTGGTTAGACGAAAAAAGTAAAAAAAAATTTTCATAATTATAACGGTCTTTCTTCAAATAATTAAAAAAAAAAAAAAGCGAAAAAAATTTTTAGAAGCTATTGGAGCTTTCAAGAACTTTAATAAAAATTTTTGTATTAATTTTAATATAGTTCAAAATTGTAGACTTATTTATACAAAGAAATTCAAATGAAAAAGAAGTTAAAATGTTAGTAAATCTTCTATATTAAAGGCTTACATTGAAAAAACATACAAATATTAATAAATTTTATATAATTTTCACAGTGATTGTTTACATATATGTGATATAAAATGATATTTAACTGTACTATATTTTTTTAGAACATGATTCTAAATTATTGGAAAATGAAAAAATACATATTCACGTTTTTTAAAAGTAATACTAAAATAATATTGTATGTATTACCAAATAACATTTAATTTTCAATTTTAGGTTTGAAAAATTCACTGAATTGATTAAGGACAAACCTTGCGTACTCTTCAACTTTTGGCTTAATGTAATTCAAGAGTCGTACCATCGCCCAAGTGACAAAATGATAAATACATACAATAATCGTTGATATGACTGGTGATGCCACTTTACTTAGCAAAAATAATGCAGCTCGCAGAAAAAAGTTCTTCAAAAGATATTGAACCAGATAAATAACTACAGTAACAATAAGTGAAATCAGTTCATCAAGATCTTCCATACGTGGGAATTCAGCGACTATCTTCATAGCTGCATTTAATATTGCCATCCAAAGTTGTCGAGGAATTTTGAAAAACTCCATTTTTTCGAATGTTCTTCGTAATTCCTCGGGTGCACGAAAATGATCACCGCGAAATCCCGTTGTCTTTTTTAAATATATGAAAAAATCTATTAAATAATCAATGACGCGGGGTCCTTCACGAGAAACAAGATCTGATGATTGTTCCTATTAAAATAAATCATATATTAGTTTTCTAGGGTCTATTATAATACATTTTAGAAAATCTACTTATTTTGTCATTCAACGCTCTTTTAACACATAATTTTTAAACTAAAATATAAATGATCAATTGTAATAATTTATTCGCTAAAAATTAATTAGAGCTCTAATAATTTTTCAAGTCATTAAAATCATTATTATAATTTTGATATTTAAAAATTAGAATTATATAAGATTGTTACAACTATATATATTATACTATTTTGAACATCAATTATCAGTAATAAATGAAACGGAAAAAAGTAGATATCTGACTATTATTTGATTATATTCGACACTAAAAAATAAATTTGTTGTCATAACAAAAGTTAGAAATACACAGCGATTTATCATGACATCAAAATGATATTGTTAATGCAGCGAAATATCAATTGTTATGGTAAGTAATGTAAATTTCTTACGTAACAAATGATGTTATTTGGTAAGAAATTTTATATCTGCTTGATTCCGAAGATCAGCCCTTAAAATATTGTGTTTCCCTTTTGTTTTCAAGACATAAAATTTTTACATTCAAAAGAACGTATGGATTTTTTTTTTTTATTAATTGTTCGATTATTGAAGTTGATTATAGTGAAATATTTAAGACAAAAAACTTTTTTAAATTCTGATTTTTTTCCTCCTATTTTGTGAAACACACTTTCAAATAATTTTATTCACTATTTTTGCAGCAGATTCTTGTACGAGACTGATTTTTAATAACTGACTCATGACTCGTTTATAACATATAAAAACTAATAAAAAAGTTACTTTGAATATTTTTAATCTTAAAAAATCTCAAGTTTGAACTTTTTCTACTTTCAGCAAAAATGTGACAGGTAATAGGCTGTTTAAAAAGTTGATCAAAGAAATATTAAATTTTCTAACATATTATTTGGTATTGTAACAAATTTTTATTATTTACCATACTGGGTGCCATATCGATGCGTAAACCAATATCATTTTGTTGTGATAAGAAATTGTCATGTATTTCTGATTTTTATTATGACAGCAAAATTATTTTTTCAGTAAACAGATAAATTACTTGGGTAAGAAAAATTATATATATACTTAATTATTGATAATATTACAAATAAATCAACTAATTTTTTTGACAGAAAATTATTAGTATATGAGATCTCCTAATTTTTTTTCAATTACAAGAAGGAATTTAAATTAATTTTTAATCATCTAAATGACATTTTGCAAAAAAAAAATTTTTTTTTTCATTTTTTTTAAATATTTTTTTTGAGAATTTTAGAGTTCAAAACGGTGTTTACATATATCCTTAAATTTTTGAAGTTTTTTAAAAAAAATAAATATTTTCACTCAATTTTCGGAGCACCCCATTTATCTCTTCTACCTTGTTTTCCTCCTCTCCTAATTATATATGGTTATATATGTACAATTATACATAATTTTTTATCCGGGTAGTACTAAAAAAAATTATGTACCTCTACCCTCCATAATATAGTCTTTTACAGATTCTACATGGGAAAGACTTTTTTCTAAATTCTTTAAGAAAATCGTAAAAATTATCAAATATCTGCCAATTTCAACATCACAATAATTATGAGCCTTTCCCTGATTAAAAAAAAGTATTGAAAAAGTATGTAATTCAATACTTTTTCAATACTTTTCACACACTGTATATCTATATATACATACAATATAGATATACAGTTGCATGGTTCAATACTTTTTTTAAATCAGGGTTATATATGGGGCATTCCATGCCAAATCGACCACTTTTGACACCGACCCTTTTCGATTTTTTTGAAATTTTGGTATCTTTCTCTACCCTATTGAAAACAATTTTCAGAATTTTTTCAAATTTTTTTACCCAACCAAAAAAAGTTACGAGTTATTACAAAAAAACAGCTTTTTTTAGTTAAATAACCATAACTTTTTGAAAATTGACTTTTTGGGATGTTTTTTTTTTTTAAATTTTTGTCTTTAAATGTACTTTAAAAAAAAAAAATAATAATTCGGATTGATATTCAATGTTTTTTTTTAACTTTTTGGTAAAAAAACGAAAATTTTACGGGATGATTGACATTTTTGATTTTCAATTTTTCTTTTTTATAAAAAACTTCAGTATTTTTTGCAAATTCCCTAAAATTTTCAGAGTGGTAAACTTTTTCTTTCTATTTTTCTTCTATCTATCTATTTCTTTCTATCTTCCAAAAAGTTAAAAAAAACATTGAATATGAATCCGAATTATTATTTTTATTTTTTTTAAAGTACATTTAAAGACAAAAACTTCAAAAAAAAAAACATCCCAAAAAGTCAATTTTCAAAAAAGTTATGATTATTTAACAAAAAAAAAGCTGTTTTTTTGTAATAACTCGTAACTTTTTTTTGGTTAGGTAAAAAAATTTGAAAAAATTCTGAAAATTGTTTTCAATAAGGTAGAGAAAGATACCAAAATTTCAGAAAAATCGAAAAGAGTCGGTGTCAAAAGTGGTCGATTTGGCATGGAATGCCCCATATAAATGTACATAGTATGTAGTATACAATAGAAAAACAAAAATTAAAAAGTATTAATAATGCAGATAAGGTGGTAACATAAATGTAAGAGTCACACATGCACCTGACTTAGTTTTTTTTTTTTTTTGAAATTTTTGTCTTTAAATGTACTTTAAAAAAAAAAAAATAAAAATAATGATTCGGGTTCATATTCAATGTTTTTTTTTTAACTTTTTGGAAAAAAACGAAAATTTCGGGATGATTGATATTTTTGATTTTCGATTTTTCTTTTTTATAAAAAACTTCAGTATTTTTTGCAAATTTCCTGAAATTTTCAGAGTGGTAAAATTTTTCTTTCGTAACTTTTTTTTTGGTTGGGTTACAAAATTTGAAAAAATTCTGAAAATTGTTTTCAATAGGGTAGAGAAAGATACCAAAATTTCAGAAAAATCGAAAAGGGTCGGTGTCAAAAGTGGTCGCGATTTGGCATGGAATGCCCCATATACAAAACTGTTAATTGTCAATATAAATATTAAAAAAATTTACTTTGTAAATAGATTATCACCCATACTTAGCAAGCAATTACTTAGGTTAAATTAAACTTTTACTAAAATTAGATTTATTGTAAATATAGGACACTAACGTAAAAATAAAAGTTCTGTTATAGTTACCATTGTTGTCAAATTGTTACTTTTTTTCGAAATGAGAAATAACTCCGATTAAATGATAATCAAACTGATATCAGCGTGCATAAAAGAATAAAGTGGAGCTTCTTTGTATTTACTTCAACTTAAGTATAGTCAATAATACTCCATGTCATCTACCCAGCAACATACTGAAACCTAAAACCGGAATATAATATGAACTATAGAGACTTTACACTTCATACGATGAACGTTTTATTTCTTTTAATAATCCAATGTTTATAATAATTTGACTTACTCCGGGGAAGTCCATTGAAATATAATCGATATAATAAACATTTAGGTTAACATCATCTGATAAAAACATGATACAGAAATCATTCGAAATCTGAGAGAATTATTTAACTTTTTTTTACATAACGATTATAAAAAAAATATTTAAAATAAATTTGCACTTTTAATTTCTTTTAAATTTTTTTATTAAAATTTTTTCATAATAATTTAGCAATAAAAATCTAAAAAATTGACAAATTTCTGTTAATTTCAGTATCATGATAAAAACTACTTGTTTATACTAGCCTGTGAATTTGTAACATTTTGTCATCTTGTTTGATCAATAAATGGAAGTAAAGAATTTGATTTTTCAAACGTTATCTGATAAAAATTTCAATACATTTATCGATGCCAGCGAACTTCCCTAGTGTAATGAGAACTATTATGTTGTATGTACATATATTATTAGCATATTATTGCGTATTATTTTGTTTTTTTATTTTTTTGTCTTTCAAGGAATAAAAAATCTATAAATAAAATCACAAGGGTTAAAATATTAATCTTACAATATGTGAAAAAAAAACTTACTTTTTTTATTTAAAATAAAAACTTTTTATAGGGAATTAAAAAAATTCCTATTATTTGCAATTTTAATACAGAGAGAAGTTTTGTATACTAGATACTCAACTAAGAGTAATAAAAACAATCTGGCAAAAAATATTATGCGAATATTCTGTAAGATGTCTCACTGTGTAAGAAAAATAAAAATTTTTTATGTAATTACAAAAAACAGTAAATTATTATATTCACACCAGAGAAAAGTTTTCTATAATCTGTTTATTAAAATTAGGAAAAAATAAAGATGAAATAAGTTAGTTTGTGTAGAATATTATATACTTTTTTTTTCCTAAATTATCTGATTTGCAAAAAAGTGCGCCGCAAAAATATTTTGCGAACCAACTGATGGTAACTAGATATTGAATTGGCGCAATCAGCCTTTTGATGATCATCATTGTATATGTAACAATAAAATGTGTTTGATAGCAAAACGTTATACCAATAAACTACTATTCTATTATTTAATAATTGGTCTTATTGATATTTTCAATTAATTCTCATAAAGCTTAAATGTTGTTTATATAGCGGTCATACATTCACTCATTACTGGACACTACAGTGTCTTTTACATCGTTATATTTTATACAATTTAAATTAAATATCGAGTCTAAGAAAAAAATTAATAATTTGTTCCTTAGTTTTGATTGACTTATCCAAAAGGCTAGACTACAAACTTCAACGTCTAATAAACAACACCATCAGATTCATCTTCAATTTAAGACGAGATGAGCATATCACTCCCTACAGGCATTCATTAAACTGGCTCACGGTTTTAAATCTAAACGAATAATGTACTCGTTAGCGTGCTTCATCTACAAACTTCTAAAATCAGGTAAACCAAAGTTCCTTAGAAGTCTCTTTATTGAAGAATCTACAGATATTAGAAGATCGGAAAGAATTGCTGCTAAACAAATTAATGTGTCTTTTAAAATGCCCAATTTTTCAACTACTACTTTTGAATATTCCTTTGTAGTTTCTGCGATCCGAATTTGGAGGGAATTACCATTTGAAGTCACAAATTAAAACTAGTACTTTTGAATTCTTCATGAAACGTGAACGAGATAATAAATCTTAATTTCTAACTTTTAAAGAAGACAATGAATCCTAATTTTCAAACTTTTTATATTCATTTTCACATTTCTGTTTACATGAGTTTATCGTTCTGGATCATCTCAGATTATCATTTTCTATAATTTGTATAATTTGTTACCACTGAGTTTAACTCTCAAATTTTTAATACTCAAATTTATTTTCTTTCTTTTATTTGTCAAAATTTTGCCATTCGGCTCTGGCCATGGCATAAAATTAATAAATAAATAAATAAATAAAATTGTATTCCAAATTAAGAAAAATAATCAATTCTCTTAATATCTAATATTTTTGAAACTTTATATCTTCATTAGTCATACGTGTACTTTTATTCTAACTCTTTTTGTATACTTTTGCTATCTGGCTATACTGCCTTTTGGCATTGAAATTAAATAATAAATAAATAAATAAATAAATTTATGCATAGTAATATTAATACGTTAATGCCTTGTACGTTTAAAATTAATTTATTAAGTTTACTAATGTTTGTATGCATATGATTCAAAAGTTAGCTTAAGCTAATAATAATAATTATTTTAATTACATTTTAATTAATTATTTTAATTACATTTGCGAAAATTTAGTAAATAAAATAAGATTTTTAGTTACAACCGTCTTTTGTATTTTACATAGCCGAACTTATAAAATTATACATGTCGTTCACTTATCATCATTAAGTACTTGTATCGCCTTAGTTAATCATAGTACTTAATTGTCCTTAGCGGAAAACTATGTATAATCTTATCTCTAAGACCCAGTTATTGGCCATATGGTTATTGGGTTGTTTGTTAAGAAAATAAATAAATTAATCATGGATTTAATGACAGCAAAAAATAATCATAAAATA